CCTGCCAAAAAGGAATTCACTTGAGAATATTTTGGGGGAAAACACAGACAAAAAAAATCCTGCCTCCTCTAACAAAAAAATTAATCCACTCTTAAAGAATCTTTCATAAACAGAGTATCGAAAATGGCATCATTCAAATTAAACAGTGCATCTCACTAAAGGCTTAGTAGTCTTAACATGACATCTACCACGAACAGAAATTTAAGGATAACAGCAACAGTTTCGGTATTTAATAAAAAACCACCAAATTAGTCAATCTATTTATTTTTTTTTATTCCTACCTATTCTTTGGGTTTTGGTAGTCGTGGCTCATCCTGGGGATAAAGCTTTCCTTGGTTCCATCAGACCTAACCACAATGCATATCAGATGTTTAACATCTTGTGTGCGGAGAGCGGAAGAAGATTTAGTTATTACAATGGGATTTGCCAATTTTCTGTAACATGAATACCTCACATTTATGCGATGCTTTTAATCTTCAAAGAGCTTACTTCTCACAGTCACCCTCCTCAAAAAGAATGCCATTAAGTGTTATTAGCCTATTTGATCCATCTGTAAAGTCTCTCCATCAGGGCACACGTTGTCACATTGCTGTTTGGATTATGTTTGGGGCAAGCAAAGCTAATCAGCACAGGTTCTGTGACAACTCTCCCCGTAAGACCAGTGTGGATAGGAATTGCTACATAATAGCCCCAACAGTGAATCCTCCCACCATCTGAGCACTTAAATCTTACTGGCTATATTTTATACCCTCAGGAATTAAAGCAGTCTAGTTTTATGTGTTTACCAGTCCAACCCTGTAAGGCATAGAAGAAACCTGAAAGAGCCTGAAAACTCAGAAACCTCTGCAGATCATTCAAATAACTTTTACCATACGTACAGTCACAAATTTAAGTGCAACAGACTGCAATATTAGGGATAAAAGTAATTACTGTTACCAATTCAAGAACTGGCAAACTCATTCTCAGGGACTGGAAAAAGCTGTTTCTAGCCCTGATGAATCACGGGAGCCCACCTTCCCCAGACACGGGCCCCAGTCAGAGCACTTATTGCTTCTTCCAGGATGAGGTGCTGTTACTGCTCTAGATGCGCTGAATGAACTATTGCTGGTCCTGGAGAAGAGAAAATGCACTGAGCTGGCTCACCAGCACAGCCAGGCATGGAAATGGTCCAGAAAAGTCAAAGGCAAGGAGGCAGAGGTACAAGTTTGAAGTGGTTTTAAACACAGAGCATAAGCCATCTTGAAGTACCAGCACCAAGAACCCTGAACTCCCCTCGAAAAGACAAAAGCACGGACAAAAGTCCATCAGGAGTTAGGGACGCCCTAAAAGTACGCAGCTCTGGGATGCAGATCTTCACCTGAGCACTGTCATCACTCTTTGCCCAGTTTCTAATCTCCTCATTCCTCATTTTTCTTTCCTTTTCCACTACTACTTTCTTCTGATGCTTCTTCATAGTTTACCTAGTTTGTACATGGTTTCCTAGGATGATGGTTTTAGCTCTCAGTCCTTTCAGTATTTAGAATGAAGATTTAGTTCAATTTCAATTAGGAAAAAACTTCTCCCCTGAGGTGTCCCTTCCTCGGTTTTCTTGGCAAATACCAAGTTTGTATTGTCATAGGTGAGTAGAACAGCTTCTGTCACAATTCAGAAAAGCTGCTTCCACTTCACTACCACCATGAAAATCACCTAGACGTTTATGCCAGTTAAGATACACAAAATTACATTATATAACTCATTTCCCAGGAATAAGCAGCCTGTTAAAACGAAAAGCAAAGGCAAATGCCAACTATGTAAACGCACACACAAGGACCTTGCCACAAAATAAACTGTAATATAACGCGTATTTCATATTTTCTCTTCCAACACTGTCATATACTAAATGCAGCTATACTATGAATTGTTCTTTAATTAAAAAAATAGAGTCTAAGTCTGAAAGTTAAACATAATCTGCAGCTTCTGCATAGGAAGGCAGTGTTTCCCACAGCCTTTGGCAAGGAGTTCTAATTTGTGATTGCTGGTACAGTTTTGATCAAGAATTTACCCAAGTGATAGTCTCTGGCGGCTAGAAGAGCCAACTCAAGTTAAGCATAGTATTTAAACACTATCACAAGTAAAGATCAATCAAATATTCAGATGATATTTATATATTGCTAAATCTTAACCTCTGAAGTTAGAAAAAAACATTACTCATTTGGAAGGGAAGTCTTTTGGCACAAACACAGTGCACACATGGATGTACACATACAGCTGCTGGACAATAAAAGGCTCTGCATTTTGAGCCTTCCTATTCTCAGCTCTGCAAGACACATTTGTCTAAAACAATCTCAAACTCAGATGCCAAGTGAACCGTTCCAGTGTCAGGTCACAAATTTGTGTTTGCTGTTACAAATACATGATAACAAGTTTGCTATGCAATCTGTGAATGGCTGAAAAATAAAAGCAGAATCACACTAGCCTATATAGTCAAGAAATAAAATAAAAACTAACATGCTGTCAGTTCTGGGCACCTATTACATGTTTGGTAGAACACTAAAAACCGAATCAGAGACTTTTTTTAACACACAATTAGCATCACTATTTCCAAACTCCATTTCCACTGCTGCATCTCCTGTTACAAGAATTCTCCATTAACATCTGACAATTAGTATTTTGAAGAACCATCCTGAAAGACTCCATCCTAGTTTTAAGCATATCTGTGTTCTATTACAAAATTTATCCCTATTTATCCCTATTTAGTGGTGAATTTATTCACCACTAGATGTATACTGCACCATATAACAGCTGTATGGGAAACCACCTTCCTGAATTTTAACTAGCACTGACCAGTTTGGATTGATGTGACGACTCAAATCTCAGAATTTCATATAAACACACTGTCCATTGCTTCACAGAAAAGAAGCACAGAAATAAAAGCATTAGAAGACTCGACACCAAAGAGCTACAATGCCATGAACAGTGGCAGCAGTTGGAATCTCTCCCTGAAAAGACTCACAAGATATCCCCAAGGACATTACAGTCTCTACTAGAAGCAGTACATTTACACAATAAATTATGAACGTTTTATATGAAGATATATTTACCAAATATTTTATATTCTGCTTTTTAACTTCTATTCTTGTAATACTGGGGCTTCTGCAGGAATTCAGCCAGTGTCCTATACTAAAATTAGTGTATATTAATTACGGCTCCTTCCTCCTTTAACCTACCTACATTGCAATGTACTCATTATTTAAAGAATAAGATTCATTCACGAGACATTTACCCTGCTATTCTTTAAGCAAGGTGATCAGAAGACAACACTGAATTGCAGGTAACGCAAACAAGTGAGGAATCTCTTATTATCCAATTATAATTCGATCAATTATAATTCTTTAGGCAAAGAAAAATCACGTTGCTGGCTGCAGGATTGGAAAATAGGGACCAAAAAGTTCTTATATTACTTCTCCATTGACACAACCTTCGTTAACATCCTCGCCGAACACAGGGCAGGCTGTAGGGACCGCACTAACTGCTGCTGCTAATTTTTCTAAAAGCAATGCTGCCTCAGCTATGCAAAGTGCAAATTCACTTCTCTAATTTTTAAACTAAAATCCAGGATTTAACTGTCTCACACTGGCAGGGAAAACGTGGTGAAAGTAGTCTTTACAAGACTAGGAAATTTCCAGTGCAGAATAAGATTTTTGTCTCTGGATAACACATAACAACTAGAAACATGGATTGAAAGGAAGTGCTTCTTCCACTCAAAATAGATTTGTGATGCCATATTCAAGTTCATTTTTAGAACAAATTTAATCTGCAAAACTGAAGCTCTCATAATTACTATCCCAATACTTTCAGTTCTTTTTCTCTACATCCACAGACTTTTTAAATCTGGCACTTCCTGTTCTGCTTAGGTTTCTAGGTTTCTTCCGTGTTTTTTTCATTCAAGGTTTCAGAATTTTAAAAGAACAATTTTCCAAACTAATGCAGTAAAACTGACCTTTTAAAACAGCTGACCAAAAACCCAACTGAATCAGTCTTACGATCATGTGCAGAGTTCCACCAAGACAGCAGCACATACCTGTTACAGTATTTCAGGTTGTGACCTGCCGCCGAAGCAGTCTGCCACAGGACAAAACTTGAGTGTCTCCATTATCAATATAAATGAAGGTAAGGAATATCAATTCAAAACACAGAAGAAACGTAAACATACATTTTATATTAAATACTCAACATTAAATTAAATTGTATGAATGGATGACAACTGAAAGATCAGCTGACAAAACATAGATGCAACGCGAATAAAAACCACAGCTTCTGAGGCAGAACTCAAAAGGGCTTGTCGTAGGTTTTATTTTTAGAGGATGAAGAATATATTTTTATGCAGAATGCAATTATTCCTTATTTTGGCCTGGTGACGTTGCCTCTCATAACTTGTGGGTCCAATTCAGACTAAACTAAGTGAAACAGCTTCCAAGGATTTGGATGTTTAAAAAAAAAAAAACCACAAAAAAAACCCAACAAAATAAATGTTATACACGACACCGGGAAGTATAGCTTCATTTCCCGTTTGTAGCTGCTGGTTAGAAGCACGTGCAGCACTCCTGATGACTGGTGTGGCTGCCTCACTCCAGACCAGTTCCACACCACCTTTCTCCACGGCTCATGACATCCACGTGCAGAGGACCTGACCAGAAGAAAAGTCACACTCCTTTTTAAGGTACAGAATGCTTCCCTGACTGTTTAAAACCATTCTAAAAGTCAAAACTGAGGCGTATGGCAATGCGTAAAGCCCGATGGTATTTCTGCCCATGCTGCCAGTTTGTCTGAAGTTACCCACTAACGAGCAAGGGGCTGTCCTGTTAGTTCCAATGGTGTTCTTGTCCCCCAAACTCCGGATTTTTGCAGTGCCTTCCACCCTAATCCACAGGAGAACACATTAACCTGCGCAGCTTATGACTACCACTGCAGAAAAGAGATTGTTATTTGCCCCAAACACTCCACGTGGTAAGTACAGCGAGGTGTTAGCCTCATCAGCACGTTTCCATGTGAGAGGAGAGGCTTGTTACGTGTTTGATAGCTTGAAAGGAGAAGGGAGAGGAGGATTTAAACACCCTGGAGATCATGGCATGTCACTCCATATGCCAAGTCACCCTGCCTGTGACAGCTAATCACTTCAGCAGAGGTAATGATGCAGGTAAGCAACAATTCCAGCACTTTCACCATTTTTACATTGAGTAATGTGTACAATGAGAAAAAAACCCTGCTCATTACAAACTGCCTTGATTTGCATTTGTCCAAACCTTTCTCAGGCACGTTCTATTTTGCCTCAAAACCAAATACAGGCCTTGATGCAAATGTTAACATGTTTTAAAAGTGAAGTAATTTTGTTAAACTGTTAGATTATTTAACCAAGAAACACACATCTCTATCTCCTAGAACTCAGCCTTGTGTCTGTATTACACTAAAATAACAGAGGAATTTTTTTTTATTGTCATTATGATGAACGACCTAAAAAAAATGCTGTCACTGATTGTAACTTGCATCAGTTTTTAAACAGATCTGGTGAATCTCTATGAAAGCTATATGCAGACACATTTTGTTTCAAACCAAGATGTGAACCCAGCTTATACCCACTAAGAATCAGCAATCCAGATGAGCTTTTACATCAGTTTAGTAAAGCTGCAGTTAAAAGAGCTGTGCTCTTCCCAAAATGTCCCCACCTATAAGAAAGCCTATGCCAACCCTGCTCAATCGGAAACACAAGCTCATAAAAACCCCACTTCTCAGAGGTGTTAGAATTCACCACGTAAAAAAGAGATGCTAAGTATTATTACACAGCTAAGCTGAAAACACTACAGCTACACAGACACAGTCATCACTAACAAAAGTAAGATGTCCCTGAAGAAATCACAAAAGAGAATGTGCATTAGGGTTTTGCCATTCTTTAGGCAAGCAGCATATTTTTATTCCAGTAAGTGCTAGTAATAATATAGCATTCAAAGTTTTTGTGAATTAGACCCTTTCAAACTCTCAGGCAGAATCTACATTAATGGATTTTTCTTCTGCATTCATCTTTGCCCAAAGGCTTCATTGTCTCATTATGTAAATGACCTTTTCATATGAAAATTAAATGTTAAAGATGTTTTTTGTAGTTTTTCAATACTGCAAATATCACATGGACATTCACAGTAATTCAGACTAAGTATAACTTCAAGAAAAACTAACTGCTTCAAGCAGTATAACCAATTAAGAAATAACTTGTTTTTAAAATACTTAAAAATTGAAAGTCTTATTTAGAATTAACCTCCAGAACTTTCTTTCCTATACAGAAACTTAAAATCATCAGTTTTGTTACAAACAATACCAAAGACTAGATTGTAAACTCCAGTTCTGAAAACAGAACACACCTCCAGCACAATTTCCATCTCACGGCACGTTCCTTGTAGAACCTAGCTAGCAGTCATCACCCAA